CCGAAGTCCGCGCTATGGGAGAAGAGAAATACTTGCCTGAGCTGATGGCCGAGAAGGATAGTCTGGATCCATCTTTTGTGCACGCGTCGCGCCTTCTGGCGGAAGGTAGGACCGGCCCCGGCGCCCGCCAGCCCGGGCAGGGCGAAGTTGGGGAGGGCGGGCGCTCCGCTGGGCAGAAACTGTCCCCGGGAGCCGCTTCTGAATGCAGGAGCGCAGCGCGGGCAGCCGGACTCCTCAGAGGCTGCATTGCTGGAGACCCAAGCCCTGAGGTCTAATGACAGGGTGATGAGACCTGTTAGGGTCCTGGACAGGGAAACCAGCAAGTGTCAGGTGGTCCACCGTCACCCTTTCACTTCACGGAAGCCAGGGAAATCAGTTCAGGGGGAAATGCGATCCATGGAGTGTTCTGAGAGCGTCTTGGTCACAGATCAGCGTTATTTATTGCTCATTCTTTTGCGTTTCCAAGTGATTTTGGTACCCTTTAATCAGTCTTTACCCCCCGGAAAGTCTTAGAATTAATCAGCATTAAAGTAGGCATGCTCCTGTATTTACGTGAGCGTGGTAAGCAGGAGCTGAAGTGATTATAAATGTATTTGAAACGGGATGATTGGATACTCTGCGAGATATTGGTCTCCAGAAACGCTCTATAATTGATCAACTGTTTTTTTTTTTTCTTTTTAAAAACCAGGTGTGCGTTTTCTTTTGTGTACCTGTGATGTTAGCAGAGATTCCGTTCCCAGAAGAGCATCTATGCCTTGCCTTTTGCATTGCTTTGAAAGGTCGTTTGTAAAAAGGCACACATGAAAACTTCTCTGTCAGAAATATTATCCCCAATTATTTCATTTATGTGAAACAATGCCAGCTAACTAAAGACACCTCAGATACCCAGTAATCTGCTTATTCCTATTTAACACAACTGCAGAATTTTTGGATGAATGTTTCATTAGTAATGAACTGCTTCATCTTCAAACTGGCTACAGTGCAGCTTTGTAGCTTGAGGTCTTACCACTGGAAGAAACAGTGACATCGGGCCCTTGTCCAGATTCTCAGCATTGAAATAGATTTGAGAGTTTGTTTTGCATCATAGAAATGTTTTGCTCCTCATATGATTCAGAGGCTTTACATGTATGTGACATTTTAATGGGTTATATTTTTTTTGACATATAATAACAAAGTATTTCACGAAAGACTGCCAGGAAGGAATTTATAATCATAATGTAGAAGATTTGAAAAATCTAAACTGTTTTCAAGGGAGAGAGGCTGGCTTTGTAGAGTACTTGGAGAGTGAAATGCAATCATGTTTAACACTTACGAAATAATCAAATTATAGTAAATGAAAGTGGAAAAAACTAAAGTCAAGAACTGTACTCTCTACTGTTAAAGAGCAACTGTATAATCATATAGGAATATTGAAAATGGATGACTTAATAAGCATTGACAGATTAAAAAATATCTTTTTTAGTTGTCAGTCTAGTCTTCAGAAATATTTCCATTCAATGTACAATGAAAAAAGAATATGAATTCATGATCATCTCTGACCTGAGTTATCTAACTGGAGCTCTCTTTGGGACAGATGGCTTAACAATTGATTCATCAGTTATTAATGTGTATTAATTGTACTTTCAAAACTTACAAAAGTAAGAGATGTAGGCGAAGGTCTTATCAGAGTGAGATGCAGGTATATTCCGGGCCAATAAAACAGTTACTAGAACACTAGATACCTTGCTTCCCCTCGCTTTTCTTTCCCGAGCACTGGATTTCTTGAGACCTGAGGAAACTGTTCTAATGTACCTTGTAATTTAATTTTTTCCCAGCAGGGGGAAGCATGGCCTGCTTTTGTAATGGATCAGGAAAAAAGCTCGCAACTAGAAAGGCACCTCAGTAAGAAACAAAGAGGGTGCCTAAATTTCAGAGAATTCCTAATGAGAAAAGAGAAAGAAGGAGGTGGTAACAGCAATCTGAGAGTAGCCAGATAGGTACATAAAAAGAATCACAAGGCGCATGTCACTTCTGTAACTCTACCCGGGCATTTTACACATGCTTTCTAGAGTGTAAGGTGAGTGTGCTTTGGATTCTTAGGGAATCATAATGCACATGTTGCATTATAGATTTTTTTTTCCATTGTCTCTTCAAAGGCCATTTGTGAAGGTTTCTAGGATGGCTGTAGAGATTTCATTTCTCATACCTGGCAATGCTCTGTTTGAAGACATCAGCTATAAATAAACCTGACACAGATACTCAAATGGAAGATAGGTGCATACTGAACTACATTTCAGCAGTGCTGTGCAGACAGTCTTGAGACTAAGGGGCTTAATAAAAATGGCCCAAATGATTCCATTCTTTGGGATGAGTTTTAGGAGCAGTGATATAAAGCAAGAAGCTCTTACAATGACTTCCTTTGCTTTGCAATCACTGATAGATACAAGCATTTGCTACTGCTTTGTGTTTCCAGTGGGGGTGATTCCAAAAAAACAAAAACCAAAAAACAAAAAACAAAAACAAAAAAAAACAATAAAAGTAAATAATTAATGAATTTGACTATTATTTCAGGTCTTGAATAATACAGGCTGAGGTGTTTTCATAAGGTATTTGATTAAAATAACTCCCCCCTGTAATTTCAATTTTATGTAGTTAGCCATTTGCTATGGAAGATGTTTTTCAATGTGATAATAGAACAAACTCAGCCTGATTCTACAAGTTCTGGCCCAGGTCCGATTGTGCTTGAGCACTGAAGTTCCATGAGGTTATTTATAGCTATGCTACCTCCATTTAATTCCATGTTTATTTAACCTGATTTTGTAAGAGTTCCTTCCCTGGGCCCAGTTTTCTTCTCTCAGATTAAATAGTGAGACCAGGAAATCTGCATATTTCTGCAGTTCTTACTTACTCCCAGATGTTTGCTGATGCGAAGAAGTGATGTTTATGTACTCAGGGCAGAAAAATCAATAGCTGAACATTTTGAAACTTTCTCATTCCTTCCTAGTTTAGTGATTAATAATACATTTACTGCACTAGAGTGAAATTTGAGGCATAAACATTATGTTGGACAGTGGAGACAAGTCCATGTTCCTAATTCTATTTAATTACTTTGAAGGCTTGGGCCTTTTGTGTAAAATATCTGTGAACATATGCTTGTTTTCTGTTGAATGTGCTGTGTGACAGATTCACATTTGTTGATTCAATTATGATATTTTATACTTTCACAAGTATTATGAAATTCAAGTGAAAGTGACTTAAGCAAGACTTTCTTGCCTGTGTTCTTCGAAAATATCAATGGATTAGCCACTATTTTAGCTAACTTGTGGTGCTGTAAAATCAAAGATTCCCAAATAAAATAGTTGCTGAGCTACTTACTCTATGTACTCCTTTCAGAGTTTGTTGAAAACTTGACCTGGCAGCAGTAGTTAACCTTTATGTTTGCAGATCTATGAGGATTTTAAAAAATGGGACAAAAACAGAGATTTTTATTTGTCACAAATGGTAACTTGTCAAAGCTGAGTTAGATACAAATTCTCAGTAAGGATCACTTTAAAATTTAGATCATATACCCTAAATGTTTCCCACACACCCTGGTAAGGTTATAAGTTTTGGAATTTATTGGTATCGTGCCTAAAATCACTTTCTGATAAAAAAAAAAAAAAACTATTCACACAGCTCTTTCAGTTGATTTTTTCTTGATGAATATAATGTCTTTTTTCTCCCCATAGATTCAGAGTAATCTTATTTACATTTCTGAAATACAATCAGAGGCACAGATTAAAATCTTGATATATTCAATCTGCATTCAAGGCCAGTTAATGACATGGGATAAAGCAGTCTATTTCAGTGTGTAACACACTTGGTACTGCGTAGTGACAATTCCACACTTCGCTGTGATGCATTGAAGATGCCATTTGCTTTCCTGTATGATACTCAGTTTTTTCATCTGTAAAACAGGTAATGCAGTACTTAACAGACAGATATTTTGAGGTAAGCATTCTGCTTGCAGTAACAAAGGCAGAATTTTATGTAATTACAAGAAACACATTTTCTTTAGCATTTTATGACATTGTCTGTTTAACCTCAATTTGAGAACAGATTTTCTATGAAAAGGAAAAACAATTCCTATTTTACTATTTGAGTTACCACTGAATAAAATTTTAACTCATAAATCAAATTAGAAAACATTCTCTTGTAAAATGTGATTGCAGAGGGTTTTTAAATGTCCCCTCCATCAATGGTTGCTTGTCAGCCTACCTTGGCCTGGTCAACACTAGTTCTTTTCCTTTCAGTGATAAACCCAGATCTCATCAAGCTTCTTCAGCCTACAATACTCCCCTCTGAGTAAGTGATTTCAGCCTCCCTGATCTCTGTGTATGTTCTCTGCTGTGTTCCTTACTTCTCACTAACATGCAGACTCCATGTTCATCCTTACATAACTCAACACCCATCCTCCTATTCTTTTATTAATCAAAGTCTAATACTCTTTTCAATGTTGACCCATATTGTGTACACTATTGATTCCCATGTGGTCTTAGCTCGTTCTAGAGATACATTCTGTCCTTGGGCCCTCCCACTCCTTCTGTTTAGTCTTGTGGCGGCCTTGTCAACCCAGATAACTTTAAGAAACAGACTACATTTCATTTGCAATAGTAATAAAACGAACCTTTCATGACACTTACCCTCTCGTGCCTTTCAGGTGGCTGATGTGATTAATCAGGACCCGGTTCCCTCCTTTTACTTTACCTCTTTCAGCTCTTCAGCATAGCCTCTGTCTTCACCACTGCCCTGGAAGTCTCTTTAGTGAGAGAATCACCTCCTACCTGCCTCAACTGTTACAGGCCTTCTTCCCCTCCAGCATGCCTGTGGTTTGCGCTGCTCTCCCCTCAGGGATTCTGCCACTGGCCATTATGGGCTTCCCTAATTTTCTGACTCTTCCAGGCTCTTCAAAACTCTACAGTTCCCAACTTCAGGACACACTCTACTTTCACAAGGGTTCATTCAAAATGAAATTCTGACCAGCTTGTGCTTTTGAATAATTTCTGTCTCCTGCAACATGTTGCCCAGCTCTTTAGCATTCTTACCAGGTATCTCCTTTACCAGCCTTATCTCTTGATCCTTTCTGC